AGGTACATTGTGCAGACCTTATTAGTTTTACACTTAAATCTGTTCATATCAGTTACCTGATTTACATAATTAGTTTTCAGCTATTCCATCAATATCTCAAGTACAAGTAATTTTGAATTAATTTTTACTGTGTCTTCAATACTCTCAGCACACGGGAGTTCTTTCTAAGCTTTCTTTGATTTACAGTGCCACCACTTTATGCGCGCCCCTCTCACTGAAATAACATGCGACACAAATTAAAGTGGGAAACTAAGTTGAGAGCCTCGGCCATTTATTGGAGAAATTCAAAACTAATGTACCGTCACTTTTATGGGTGAAGTTTCCTTCCGATCTGCATTATTTGTAACAACTTCTGTAACCGTGAAAACAAAGTGTGTAACCTATTGTAGTAAGTTATCAACATCTAGGACTACTTCGCCTGGAATTGCTGTAAAGGATATATATTACTGATATTTTCCTCTTATGGATATCAAAATATCATAACTTGTTTTGATCAACAGGGCTTGAACTTTAAATAGGCATCAAAGGCAATTCCTTGATGTCAAAAATGTTTTCCTTGTTTTCCACTATAAACATGTACCACGATATACCAAGACAATTTCATGTCTGTATAACTTCATGTTGACTATATGTTTTTCTGTAAACATTTTTGTTCTTGATCATCAATGTGAAATGTATGTGATACATGACTTAACCTTCATTTTATGGGCAACCTTTAATGTCTGAGATTACAAAAAATTATTAATGTTGCCAATTATATGAAATTCCAATAATCATGCCAAGTGCATTTGCCTTGTTATGGTATTTCAAATGTTTAAGGCAGCAGTGTTCAATAAATGCAATTTTTCTGTTGAGCTTGTACATTGTTATGACAATGCATTGCCATCCATTTAACAGTATTTTCATCAAAAAGTTTAGCTGCTGTCTTCTATTGGAAATTCTGTGATTTAATAATTTACACCATTAGAAACTTTTCTCATTATAATCACATAGTTTTGCTGTTGCATGGGGCATCTTCATCCTATCTTACTAGGAAATACAATTTCCAAATATGGAACGATTATGTGAAATTTCAAGATGGTGGACAAGTTTGACTTGAGTATTTTGTAAAGTTTTGAAGCCTTTGGCATGTCAAAAAGCAACACATATGTTACATGTATTTGCAAAATATCAAAATTGTTTTCCAGCATCTTAGGGTGTCAAGTCATTTAATTGCATGCATGATTCTCTGATGATGGAAGGACAATATCACAGTCAGTATGGCTGGATCAATTTCAATCAAACTCAGCTTTGACATCACTCATGCAAGACATCTTGTCATAGCACTGATGTAAGTTTACTATAATTAGTTGGCTAAAAGAAGGCGAGGATATTGAGGACCCGCGTATGGTATGGGACTGGCTTAAATATTGTATTAAGAAAACCTCAATAACTTTTAGTAAAGAAAAAAAGAAAAAACAAACAGTAAAAATAGAAAATCTGGAGCGAAAATTAAAAATTCTAGATGATCAAATTTGCCTAAACCCTACTGCTGAAGTATTACATGAATTTAGTCAAATAAAACAATCATTACAACAGGAATACGACGAAATAGCAGAGGGGCAGATTGTTAGAGCGAGGGCCAACTGGCATGAGTTAGGTGAGAAAAATACTAAGTATTTTTTGCAATTAGAAAAAATGAACGCTAGGAGATCTCAAATAAACAAACTTACTAGAGCAAATGGGTTAGAGGTGAGGTCCCAGAAGGAAATAAATAATGAAATTAAAATGTATTATGAAAATTTGTATGCCTCTAAACTTGACCAAGATGAAAGGGCGAGGAAGGAAAAGGCTTACTTTTTTGATAATCCAGACATT